GAAAGTAGTTTAATTGAAAAATTAAAATTTAATAGTGATAAGGTTATATTTATTAGATAATTTGATAGTGTTAACAATGGTGGTAGATTTGTTAATTGTTTTATTATATAATTTTAATAATATTATTTATGAATATAATATTTTTGTAGATTTTGATTATATATATATATGTATGTATTAATGTATTTATTGTAAAAGGACTTGCTTGCTTGCCCTTTCAAATAAATTAATAAATTATCAAACAATTTTCTAAAACAATTAATAAATGAGAATTATTATTGTTGTTATCATCATCATCATCATCATCATTTTCTAATTCTGATTCTTCAAATGAAATAGCAATAATCATTAAACGGGAATAAAGGTTCAAATTCTTTACTAATAATGTTGGAATCACGTTTGATTCGAAAAATTCATTATTATATTAGCGTATGGGTTGTTTGGTGGATATGATAATTTGCAAATTTGTTCTTTCATTTTTCAATATCAATATGCGTGGCCATCTCTCCAACATATGATTTTTTGACGATATGGCCTTTAGGCCTCGCAGATTATCTGATGTTTTGCATTTTCAAAATAATCTTTTGAAGGAGGTTGAGAAAGCTCGGTCCAATGGGGGGATATTGCTCTTTTGAAGAAATGAAATGATTGTCAATATCTTGAGCGTTGTTGCCCAATGTTAATTTTACCCAAACAAGTATGTCTACTTGTTTTTTAGATAAATCTGTTTGCTTTTTGCATATACAAGCTCGCCTCTTTATTTATTTGTTATGTTCTGCGCGTTCTTTATGAATTTTTCGTATACTTTCTTCGTCAGCATTGATAGAAGATATTCCACATTGTCTAAGAGAAGAAAGCCTTTCATTGACATCCTTTTGCCAGAATTGTCGCCTATTTTCATATTTCTGAGATGAATAAGGTAATCCGTCATAATAATTACTACCTCTAATAGACAGACAGGCCTAGGTCTAAAAATTTAGATAAATAAATAAATAAATAATCCTGGTTGGCTATTCCACAATAACCTCGTAAACGAAGTTTTTTATCAATAGCTCGCACTCGATTAAGTAAAATTTTGCTGTCTTTCTTTAAGCCATTAGTAGTGCTAGCCTGAATTAATACTTCAAAATGTTGAACTTCGGCCAAATTTTCTCAATCCTCATCCGATAAAGGAGCCACAATAATATGGTGGTCGTATTGATTTTGAAATAAATATTAATATAATTGCTTCTCAATTACAATAACATTGAACCGCCAATGGATTCAATAATGCCACAAAACAAACAGGCTTGAGGTGAAGCAAGAAAAACCTTATTAATGTAGGTAGTTCATTCCAGCTTGGTGGTGGAGGTTGTTGTAATCCATTGAAATAAGTTAACCTTGAATTGATCGATTTTCATCGCATTTGTCGATCAGGATTTGTGATACTAATAATTTTAAGAGGATTTCAAGTGGTATATTTGTAAAGCGTGATATTTATTTTCTTTGAGTAAATTGAATGGAACCAAAAACATTATTGACTTTGTCATAAATTTCATCATTGAGCTCTCGCATTAAATAAAAAATAAAAGTCCATGATAATGAATAATAATTAAAGATATTTAAATAGTCATTAAATCGTTGTAAACATAATACTTACCCAGTCTATAATATCCCTTTGTTATTTTTTTTTGCTTGTGACATTTTTTCTTTTTTTAAAAAAAAAAAGTAAAATTGT